TCATCAATCATTAGAGTCACATGTGGCAATGTCACGCCTTGGGTCTTGTGAGTTGTCAAGGCAAATGCGTTCTGCAATGGGAATTGGAACCTCGACCGTTTATTTCAAAATTTTTGAATGTTCATTTTAATAATGTTACCATTAGTTATGAAAAGTAACTTCTACATTATCATCATCTATAACTTTGGTAATCACACCTATCGTCTCATTGCAGATGCCATGTTCAAACAGCTTACCAACGAACTCACACTTTAATAGAGTTGTTAGTCGAAAGGTATAGTTTCGACAGACATTTAAGCATTTCGACTGTCGAAATATATTCTACAAGGTCACTTGATTTACCGTAATGTCGAAAAATATTTTTTCTAAATTAATAATATTAGTATTAGTAAATTTGCCAACTTTTTAATAATAATGAAATAATGCGGGTTTTTTTTTGTTTGAAATTAGCTGATTAATTGTGTATACACTGAAAATATCAATTGCATTCATCTTTTATCATTAATACAATGTAACTTCACCGTGACACACGATTCTTCCAACATTCAATTCAATCTTTATCATAGAAAAATATAAATTTTGTGATTTTTTTTGCGAAACATTCCCAGGATTGTTATAAGGGAATAGATTTTATTTTTATTGTAATTTGTAAGAATTTATAATGACTAATTTAAAGCATTTTGACAACATTTAGGCATTTTGTTTCAATAAAATTTAGGCATTTTGACATTATTTAGACTTTCAACATCAATCTGGACTTTCGATATGATCAATCAATTTAGACTTTTGACATTAATTTAGGCTTTCGAAATTACTTTAGACTTTCGACATGCGTAAATGTTGAATGACGAAACGTTTCAACGAAGTTCAAAACGTTTCGACTAACAACTCTACACTTTAATAGTAACTTCTCATTATCGTATATATCAAAAAAAAATTATCAATCGTAAATTTTAGCCATAATTTAAAAGATATTGTTTATTGTTTAAAAAAATAGATTCTGTTTGATAATTATAAATATAAATAATATTCAAATAACTATAGTTGCGCAGCTGTTGGACACTACGTAAACAATTTAAAAAAACGTTTTTCGGATTTCCCAATAAAGAGGTTGCGCAGCTGTGTAAAAATATTTTTCGACGTAAATCAGGTTTATCAGTCCCGTACTTTTTATTTATTTTACCTAGTCTGTTTTGTTCCAAGTATATATTCCTCAATAAATAATGATTGTATTTATCAGAAAAAAGTAATTAATTCTACCCAAATCACATAAGCTATTTCTAAAAAGTTTTGATCAATTTCTTTAATTGGTAATATAATAAATAATTTATATACAACAAAAATAATCTCATTTATTATTACCAATTCAATAGATGATCAATCAACATTCGACTATATAATGAACCTTTTTTCGAATAAATAAAAAATTGGGGATGCGGCAAATAACAGGCAATGGCAAGGCACTTGCAATTAATAAACAGAATATTTGCCGTACGACTCAAAATTCGCTTAATAAGGTGAAAACGTTGATCGCACCAAAACCAAACAGAACTTAACACAAAAAAAGAAATTAATTTGCAAAATCGACAAAAAATTACGGAATTTAGAAAAAGACGGTAACACGACAAATTTTCTTTTTTTTATCTGTTATAGTACCATTTTTCATGCAAAGGTACTCAATTGGTCATTTTTGTGTCAATTTCCTCCGCTGGTCATTATGTAAGAATTCGCGGATCGTCAAGTGAAAATTTATATTTTATAACGAATTTATTTTGAACAATTAATAAAAATCGCTTTGTAACATAAATCGAATTTTGATAAGCCGATCGATCCCATTTTTGTGATTTCCAAAAGTTCGGTTTATCGAGGTTTGACTAATTTTTTTAAAATTATCTCGACGATGGGCTGTAGAACTAGTCAATAGCTATCAAATATCATCTCTATTTTTTCCAGATAAGAATTTAATATTTCCCTATTTAGCTTTAAAGTTGTTATAGTAACCTGTACACTATCTGAACAAAAGCCACGCACAAATAATCGCACAAAACTTAATAAGAAAATGATAAATAATAATATCTAAATATTTTGTTGGCGGCTTCCAATACTCTATCAATTTTAATAGGGAATTCGTGATTTTACATCACTCTTATTCTTATTTCCAACTCCGAACATAAATACCAATTGGATTCGAGTCGGGGGAACTGGCTTGTAGTGATTGATTGCATTCATACTTATTACACAGTTAAAAATCATGTGTTGATCATCTGATTTTGAATGTGTAACCATCTAATGAATCGGCTGGCTTGGCCAATCAATAAAACATTTATATTTCATTTGTTGAAACTGACATTTTGTGGTTTAAAATTTTCAAAAGAATTTAAACAAAAATTTATTAAACCAACTTTAATTACATAGATGATGTTTATTCAGGAAGTCAAAATTTCAGATGAGGAGGTCACGAAGTACGGTATTTAATTGGATGGAGTTTTTATTTTTACTAGTTGTAACCTGTCGGTTCGCTGACAGGTTACAATCAGCTGATTTTAAATTTGTCTTATTATAGAGCCCAACTATATATATAAAATACCATGTGACCTGATCCAAAGACCAACAACTCACCCCCCTAAAACCAGCTAATTTCTGGCATACATTTATTTATTTATTACACTAATCAATGAGTAGAACACAGGTTTTTATTCTGTTACATTTATAATAACTTCTCAGATATATATACATATTTATATCAATATAAATATATGTACATACATACATACCCAATATGGTATATATATAAATCTATCTGCTATATATATATATTCACTAATCCCATTTATAGTAAGGCTGGTCGCAATTTATTATAAATATATAGATTTTAAAAAGTAACAGTTTTGATTTCATTTCTTGCTCAATGGGGTAGTCATGTTGTCTTCTGAGGTAATGCTAAAACTGGGATCTAAAAATGAAGAGGTTAGAATAACTTCACTTTGTATACGTACCTTCTTTTCTCCTGATTGGTCAAGTCCTGTGGAGCCTTCAGAATCCATATTTCTATGATAACGCTGTTGTCGTTCACGATTAAGTCTTCGTTGATGTTCTTCAGAAGTCTCATCTATAGTGTTATTTCTACCCATAGTTTATTTTATTTTGTTATTTTTAAAGTATGTAAACGCGTAATATATGAATTTTATTGTGATATATATTGTTGATATACATTTATTTGCATTACTTGCATTATTATTATTATTATTATTATTATATTACACTAAATACACAATTACACAAAATTTTTAATTTTAATTTTATATTTATATTTATATGCAGTAATCTAAACGTTACACTCACGTGAACCCAACGATTTTAATAAGACTAGTTGTAGCCTCGTCACTTCGCTGGCAGGTTACAATCATATATCAGCTGATTTTAATTTTGTAACCCAACGTTTTTAATATAATAGATTGTTTATGTTAAACAATAATCTACATATGTTAATATGGTTAGCATTCGCCAATCAGTGATGTAATTCTAACCAAATCTGGAATCAACATCAAATGGTTTCTAAATTTATACTAGCTTTATCTCAAGATGCAGTCACATGTCGATAATTTCTTTATTTATTTTACATACAAAGATTAACAAAAAATGCAAAAAATGATTAATGCATAGACAATAAACAAAAGTTACACAGTAATCATTGAAATTTAATATAAATGAATAAAGACAAATATAATTTTTCCATTCTTTTTTAAAAATCAAAATAATGCAATTTTTACTAAACCTTCAAAATAAAAATTACGGAACATTTAATTATAACGATCCGAATAAATCCTCTCATACATCAAGAGTTAATCTTGAATCAAATGATAGAAATGTCGTAGAAATATCTAGCCAACCTTTTCATCAAAGATTCCCATCTACCATAATAATTAAAAATGTTGGTAGTATGGCAAGGGATCAATTTTGTAAGTAAATTGTCTTTTAGCCAGCACACATCTCTATAATATATTTATCTCCCATCACTAATTTTAAAAAAAATTTTTTTTATAAAGCAATTCAAAGAACATGCTTGAGTTTTATCAAATTCGGAATCGCTTTATTTTTAGTAGGAATATCATTTTTAATACATATTTATCATATAGATAATGGTGATGATGTTGATGAAAATCCAAATTCTGGCAACGAATTATTTAATTTATCAATTTCATTTTTTCCATCAGAAGAAATAATACATAATATAATTGGATTGACGTTTATAAGTTTAGGTTTTTTTGTAATTATATGGGCGACTTGTAATTATTTAAAATTTCAAAAAATGTTTATTGATTCAAGTGTAATTATTCAAAATGAAGAATTCGACGTTTCAGTTATGATGACTATAGGTTTATCGATAATTATAGCCTTTCTGTTTTTAGAGACCTTTGCTTGATATATTTATTATGTATGTATTATATGTATGTAATATTAAACTTTAATTTGAATTAATATATATATATGGCATAGTAAGCTCATTTCTGTATATTGATATAATAATAGTAATAGTTCGAAATAGTAGCCGTATCGTCACCATGTGATTAGGGGAACGAATAAAACTTGGTATTATTGGTATTAGACGGTACTTTTATGAAGAAGAGCATTAAGGATTTTTTCTTTACATAATCCCGACTAAAAGGACTTTTAGAAGACAAAGAGATTGCGTGCAGATCAGCATAATTGCCCTACTCAAAGTCTAAAACATACTTAGATATTAGGTGTAAATCAAGAATAATTTAAGCGTAATGCAAGAATGAAAAATAAATATGTAATTTATTATTGAAGACATATATACTCATTTTCTACTTGTTCATTCTAAAAATTCAATACTACAATAGCATACATAATAGGTCGAATTTCCGGAGGGTATCGCTATCTTATGAATCACATGACTCACCAGAATCGTCAATAAAAAAAAAATAAAAAAGCTTTTTTCGGCTAGATTTAGATTTTTTATTTATATATATAGTAAATCCTTGTAACTCAAACACACATAATAAAAATTTAAAAACCCCCTCCCTCTATTACATTATTGCCTAGGTTATGTATATTGCAAAAAATAGTGTGTCTTTAGATGATGACATGATGATTGTGTAACCGAAACAATTAATAGCGTAATATCAATATTTTGTCCTTTGGAGTCCTATTACTATTACTACAGAAAATTTGCATACGGAAATTCCGTATGAATTATAATTTTTATTTTTATTGCTGTTTCTATGGAATAATTATTATAAAGTATACTGAATTTTTCCGAAAAAAAATTATAATAATAATAGTAATAGTAATAGTGATAGTAATAGTAATACTAATACTGAAAAGGTATTTTTTGATTTCGCATATAAGGTACAGAATAGGTATGGCATTTGCAACATACTATTACTAATACTGAAAAGGTACTTTTTGATTCCATATATAAGGCATGGAATTTGCGACATACCGAATATGAAAAGGTACGTTTTAACTCTGCATATAAGGTACGGAATTTGTAACATATTAGTACTAATATTATTATAATTGTTTTTTTTTTTGACAAGGATGGATCAAATATCTATCTATCCACTTCGTCTGGTTGCTAAACAAGCATATATATTCAATAGAATATACAACGCTTTATTTCTCAAAACATTTCAGAATTTTAGTTACCTATAATTGGCTTGCAATCTTTTTTTTTCCAGAAAAAAGAATTTTTATAAAGAAATAATTAATGTTAAAAATAGTTACGCTTTTATGAAAATAATGCAACCTTTTCAAATATCATTGATTTTAACATAGTAATAGTAATAGTGTTACAACCCGTTAATATTAAGGCCTTATCCGTTGCAACACAATAATCCGTTAATTTTGCATTACTACTGTTATTATTAATATCACGAGTTATTAACGGATTACGGCTAGCTTGTTATTATTTTATTATTATAGTAATAGTAATAGGATTTAGTGTTGTTATTATAATTCGTAATCCATTAATAATTATTATTAACATTAACATTAATATTGAGTATTTTTTCATCCGGATTTGTAATGGGTTAATCCGTTTAAAATAGTAAATATTATTATTATTATTATTATTAAAAGGATTCTTAACGTGCCCATAATAATAACGTTAATCAGTCAACTGTGACAAATAAATGCCGTTTATTATTATTATCTGTTTCCCCCTGTAGTTTCTTTGTTCACTTTGGTTTTGTTACAGCATGCTCCAATAATAAATATATTGTTATTTAGATAACTATCACTAAAGCATGTTAACTTGATACTGAATTGAAAAGAATACAAGTATGAAATTTATTATAAGTTTTGGTAAAGATAAAAAAAAAAATTATTTTGAAAAATTTCTTTATACACTCAATATGTATATTTATACATACAATCATTCATTTATTAATCATCAAACCATTTATAATATGGTTTTTTTGTATCTGTAAGTGTTTTTGGAATGAATATTTGAACTAAGAGAACATTTTATTGAAAAGTTTTCAATAAAACATTAACAAATATATTTTTCCTTCGCCTATTTGTAAAATTCTAGACAATGAAAAATGATCCGAATTTGTATATATGACTTTTGGTAGCTTTATAAAGAAAATTATTATCTTTATTTTGATATACTGGTAGTCCATAATTTGTATACACACTAAACTTTCTCTTCTTGTCTAATTTAAACAATGACACTGATAAATATTTGGTTATGTTCATGAGCTGGCTACTTTTTTTGAGGAGAAGAATTCGGCAAAACTATAGAGTACACGTTTGAAAACTCTGATGGCTTGAACAAGTTGAAATTTTATTACAACATGAATGCAGCGGATGCCGAAAAAGGAAAAGTTGGCTTAGCTTTAAGAGTTTTTTCGCCTTGTCAGTAAATTGCAATATTAATATAGATAGTATAATTATATTCGAACTGGCATACCTTTTTGTAGTAAGGTTATCTATATTCATATAGATAGTTGCTCTTTTTTACATGGTTTTTGACAATTTCTCGTGCAAGATTTTGATTGTTATTATACTCCATTTTTTAATAAATCAACATATCAGTTCTTTTAAAAAAAAATGGCAATTTATACTCTCTTTACGCACTAGTTCAAATATAATTATCCGAAGAATGGATAAAATTGCCAATCTTTTAAATAGTCATGCTGGATTGGGTAAAGTTATTGGTCACCAAAACTATTTTGTAGAGACAAAAGTCAAAACTAAAATTAAAAGTCATCAAAAGTCAAAAGTCAAGACCACTTTCGACTTATGACGAAACCTTTTGACTTTCACACAGTTCCAAAACTCCATGGTTTTGGAAACCAACATCATTTTAAATCAAGCCCAAAACAAGTATATATAAAAATATACTGTCTCGAGATGTTCCTGCCATTATCAGATTGAGCCCAACTATGTAACTACTCGGAGAATCGATTGTACAATCAATAATTTTCTCTTTAATCAGAATCAACCATCTATACCAATGGTTATTTCTTATTGCTGCTGGGGATTTTGTACAGGAAGAAAAAATTTGAAAAGTGGTAACATTTTAAACGGGGAGTGTTATTAGAAACATCACTATGAATACAATTTATTTATCTTATTTATGAACCGTAATATATAGCACAACTACCATTCCAAGTACCATTGCATCAACTGGTAGTGCCTTTGATTAATATATTTAATTTGCATTGCTTAACAATTTAGAAATTGACCTATTTTTTTTTTTTTTGCAACCAATAGGTATCATGGGAGCCATTCTTGTGTGGTTATTTGGATCCGGCAGTTTAGATTCATGGGGTATTGCAAGAAGAATTGCAGTAATCCGTAGCAGTATTTGGGTGATAGTTTTAATGATTTTAGATGTAAGATGATAGGAAGACAATCAGAAAGGAAAACAATTATCTTAAATGTTTGACAGTTAAAGTTGCAATCACAAGAAATTCTTGGATACTTCGTTTTTCAATTATCAAGAAAAAGCACAAGAAAATTGAGGATTAGATTATCAAGAATAAAAACAAAAAACGAGCAATTATTAAAGAAATTTACGCATTTGACTTTTTTTTTCAAAATAATCAATAAAGTTCTATAGAGAATATGGAAGTATATATACATAATCTCCAGGATTTTCACTACAAATTGTTATAATTTTGTACGATTATTATGTATATTTTTGTGTCAGAACTATTATTGAAAATTCCATGTTAAAATTTCAGAGATAAAGGTTTTAAAAAAAGATACTGCAAAATAACAAACGCTATGTAAAATCTCTATAATGGTCAATTATTTTTTTATAATTTATTTCTCCCTCTATAAAATCGTTTTAGCAAACACTCTCTATAACTAACAAAAGCAGCAAAATTACATATTATTATAGTGTAAACTGTATAATTCATATCACGTGATTTAATTATATTTTGGATATCTCGATTTAGCGGACGAACTGTCCAATCGTGTAACCTGATAAAAGATCAAAAAAAAAAAAAAATTTTTTTTTATTTATAAAATTTAAAAAAAATCATGGCCACTCAAATATCAAAAAAGAGAAAAGTAAGTATTAGTTTT